TTATCAGTACACAGCACTATCACTAACGTCGTGACTCGAAAATAAGTAATTCGAAAAATATTTTATACTGAAGCGGTCGTATGTCCGGGTGGTCGTAAGTCGAGGAGTACCTGTACACAAATGCTTCCCATCAGCAATGCCCTTTCTATGCATACATTTCCAGCGAATGTTATTACATTGTACTGTACTGTACCTAACCCATGATTGAATTAAAGTAGGCTACTCTAGGTTAGGCAGCGGCCGCACTGAGAGAGGGCACATGCTGTTGCTAACTCGCGCCTGTTGCCAGTGCAGTCACATCTATGGGCTACAATGCAGCAAAGTCTTCCGTGCCCGCCCATTCTCGCCTGCCCGCTCTCAGTGCGGCCTTAGGTTATGTTCAGTAGATTATCTAGAGAGGTCTGTATGGAAAGGTAAGTCACTGACTGGGAAGCATCCTGTCACTTAGTGTTCGGGGCTGTTCAGTTGGTGGGAAGCTCTTGTCAGCAGTTGAAGTCTAAACATGACATTGTCAGGTAGACGATGGACACTGAATGCAGTTATTTTTGCAAAAATTTGGGAAAAACAAATTTATCATAATGTAATTCCTCCACTCATTTTTGGTTGGGTTTATTTTTGAGGTAAGAAATGGGTTTTCTTCTATAGAGATTTATTTTTTTGGTTCCTGGTAAATCCAGACCTCTGTCCTTTGCTATTGCCTACAACAACTCTACACAATAGCTACTGATTATCTTATGCAGCAAACTGTACACTTTTCATAGAAATTGTATAATTACAGTACAGTAAAGAATTAAAAATTTTGACCTCATACATGTACAATTTATGAAAAAAATCACCAGCACTCCAACAAATGAATACAAACTACTGTACAAACAACCGTATACAGTACACCCTCGCCAACAACAGATTCCGGATATACAGTACATGGTTCTTACTCTATTTTATTTCACCAACCACGGCATTGAATTTCAAGTATCCGCGGATAAGTGTCGCGTCTTTATCCCTCCGCAGTCTAATATATTCCTCTGTAAATGTGAGGAATTAATAAAAATACCAATAAATTAAAGAAAAAATACTGCAATGCTATTTGGCAATCGTTTCACTAAAGACATGGGTGACAGGAGCGCCCTCCCCCCACGGACATAAGAAATTTTTATTCTCTTTATGTTTTTGACCTTATAATAATCACTTTTTTTATTACAGTCTATATGAACAATTGTGTGCATATAACAGTAAAAATTTTTTTTACAGTCGTTACGTATATCTACCCAAAAATACAAGTTGAAAAATAACAATTACACAGATTGGCCTGGTGAGGGGAAAGCTAGGTCCGCACGCACGCACACAAACACATACACATATATGCTCTTCAATTTTCTTATTTTATAGCAACATGCCATCTCCACAGAGATGTGCTGTAAAATTTATATTACTCTTCAATTTATATAAAGCTATTTTATATGTATTTGACTCATATTTAATAAAATGTACAACACACGTATTGTGTACTGAAAGAACAAGCAACTGAGTTAGGCTTTGATAAGTGTTATCCATGTCCATGGAACCTAGCCCCCATTTCCCATAAGTCTTTAGTCTTGCCAACTGTGGATTTGCCAACCATGGAGAAAATGGTTCACTTCTGAGTGTCACCATAATGTACCAATTGAAACAATACCATTTGTTAGAGTTATTTGTTGTGTGAATTCAATAGAAAACATTCAAGTTTTTACTTGATGTATTTTTTTTACTTTTGAATTTACTTATATAATGTGAGTTCAGTGTTATATATTTTTTTGTTTATGTATATTATTATTTTTCTTTGCAAATTATCTTAATTGTGAACTAAATATAAAATTATATATAAAAGAAAAAAGATCACCTCTTCCACATATGTACAGTCGGGGTCAAAAGTCTTGAACACTTGGCAGTATTTGGCATGTAAGTACCCAAAGATCTTAAGTGTTTACAAGAGTTTTATCCCATTTTGCAGTTCAGGCATAATAAGTGATGACAAGCAGTGTTATTAATATATCCCAATCATATATGTATAACTCAGAAGTAGATGCCAGATATTGCTAAGTGTTCAAGACTTTTGACCCCGACTGTACGTTAATATAGTAATAAGATAGAATGAAAATATATAATAAATCAATTCCCCCCTCTTACAATCTACAGGGTATACTAATTTTTATCATTCATGCAGAAATGTGTAAACTTTTACTTTTACTTTTCAGACCAAGTTCGTTAACCTAAGTGGTCCAAATTGGTTATCAGATATGGGCCGAGTTGGTATGTGATGGTCCGAGTTGGCGATGGGCTGAGTTGGACTGTAACCAGACAAATTTGCAAAGGGCATACCAAGCTCTTCCTTACATTTCTTTAATACTCTGGCAAATATCTCATCAGGACCTGGTGACTTATTAGGCTTTAGTTTGTCTATTTGCCTACTAACATCGTTACTAATCACTACTATCTCGCTTAATATCTTTCCTTCACCATATCTGGATATAGTCTGTGCCTTGGGAATCATGTTTAAATTTTTGGTGGTGAAAACTGTTGAAAAATACCTGTTCACATTATTGCTCATTTCTCCGTCGTTATCAGTTAGCTCGCCGGTATTGGTCCAATCGTGTCTCTTGTTTTAGTTTGATACATTTGAAAGACTCCCTTGGGGGTTTAACTTTGTCTCCCCTGCTACCTTCAGTTCATTATTTCTCTTTGCTTTACCCTACTGGCCAATATACCTTATAATAATCTCGGAGGTAAACTTCACGATTTATTCTCCAACCTATAGCCATCCTTTGGCCAATAATATTCTTTAAATAATTATTTATCTATTTGGGGTCATTGTTATTTTATCCGAGTTTTCTGTATGGTATGTTCTGCCTTTGTGCATTAAATAACCCATTATTTAAATTGTTGTGGAACTCGTCAACCTCAGATCTCGTGATCAGGTCACCCTCAACCGCCTATTTTGTGAGGGTGCCATTGTCAGGTCACCAGGTAAAGTGAGGTCACCCTCTGTGTTGGTGTTAGATTACAGGATCAGTCACATTCTGAGTCTTGACCATTGCTGACCACTGCTTGGTATGCATGCAATATTGCGTCCCCGACAGGAAGGACTCCAGTGCGATGGTTGTAACTTCTTCCACTTATATACACTAATATATTAATAAGATAGAATGAAAAGATAAATAATTACAAAATTAATCCCCCCCCCTACAATCTATGCTGCTTTTTATCATTGCACTTGTACTTTTTCATTCATGCAAAATTAAATGTGTAAATTTTTACTTTAGGACATGAGTCCCTTGGGGGTGACCAATATGTTTTGCCAGTGTATTTTGGTGTGTTTTAAAGGAACCTGACCTTCAGTTTTGGCGGAAATTGCTAGTTTTTGCCCCCGCAACAATAATGGGGAAGAGCCTGAGAAATTGGGGTTTTTGGGTGGGGGAGAAAATGAAAACGAGTTAACTGTGACCTAACAAAACCTAACCTAACTAACCCAACCCCTAGCCGGTGGGTCCGCCCCCCGGTAGGCCTAGCTTAAACTAACCCAAATGTTTCAGTAGTTTAAAATTTGGGGGCACGCCATGTCCGAAAGTACAATACCATAGTTACAAGTGGAAGGACCGGGGATTTGTAAGAATTGGATAGAATGATGGTCTTTCTCGTAAAACTCGGCAATAAACTTAAAATAATCGTAGGATCACAAATGATAACCAACCTTCACCACGGCCATTGAGAAACTGGTCAATGAAATTACCCAGGCTGCTTCCTTTGAAAAAAATCAAATGTGAGTGGTCGAAAAATATTTGCGTGAAGATATCGATACCTCATTGGTCACGACTGGATGACATCAGTCAATGTTGCGCATGTGTGATGCGCAAATAACATCTCCTCAGACAAAGACTGACAACTAATTAAAATCAATTAAATTCAACTGTGTCGCTATTATCCATTTCCGCCATTTATATATGGGGTTCAAAATGCTCAGAATAGAGTTTATAACTTTTGGGGGCGCTATGTCCGAAAGTAAAATAATACCATTTTTACTTTATAGTCCGAGTTCATTAACCAAGGTGGTCCGAGTTGGTTACCCGAGATGAGCCGAGTTGGACTGTAACCACCTAACCTGACCTAACTCTCATGGTGTTTTTACGGAACCAGACTCTCACTATATGAGGGAATCACTGTTATTTCTTACCTTATTCCGAATTAGATTCCAAAATTCGAATAGGCTTGGGGAGTGGAGAGGAGGATTGTGTCCGCATGACGATTTATGAAGGAAAGATTAATGGAATTAAATAGAGAAAGATTTGGCATGCGCTATCTCCGTTATTATACATTTCTGACGGTAATGTAAGAGAAGAAAATTAACTTAAAATTAGATGTCGTTTTTTAATATGATAATAGATTTGGGGTAGGAATGTGTGAACTACTATAAAAAATACCGAAATTGCAGCATTTTAAAATTTGTTTTCTATGAAAAATCAGTGTCTGTGAATTCGTAAATAGTTACCCAACTTCCAAATAGGTGGATGACCGAAATGATAATTTTACCGCTGCTGGTTCAGGCAACAACAGGTGTAAACAAATACCAGTCATAACATAGCTATAGTTTCGGTGTAAACCTTTCTTATACTATTACAAAATCAATTTATAAAGTCCAACAGCTTTTTGGTCGATCTAATACGGTAGGTAAGATAACTACACTTTTTCTCTACACAATCCATGAAATAAACTGAGTTTAGTCACAAAATATATTTAATGCCTTCCCAAATTCCGTACATGATCCCTAAAACATACCATAGTGTTGTGGTTGTGTACACCAGGATATGTAGAGCTGCGATACTTAACACCCGGGGCCACGCAAAGACAATTTGCACCATTACCCTCAACCCAATATCTGTCCTCACAACCAAGACTGCTATCTGTTTACATTACAAGAGTTAATGAACTTCACCTGAGTAGCACCAGTATTGAGCAGAGGAACACACCTGACACATTAACTTGGTCCTCAGCTACGTTACGTGGTCATAAGCCAGACAGTTTCCGTCAAGCTGAGCAACGTTTACCAGCCCAACACCCACTTGACCTGGCCAGTCCCGCTTATTCTGAGAACAGAATGAAGGAATTGAACACTGGCAGTGAATGACGACAGACACCATCTCTTTCCGTTGAATTAACAAAAGCACTTTCCATAGTCTCACTAACCACTAAATTGGCTGGGAATTTCTCAACCCCGGACTAGAAATAACTTGTTGCAAACGTTTTAATTCACTTTAGTTCTTCACGTAACAGTTTTCACCACAAGTGACGCACCAACTCACCTGCATTATTATGCAGTGATATATTGAAGAAGTGCACAATAAGAGGTAATCACAAAGTTCTAAAAGCCATTATTAGCCGTGGGTGACGGAGCAGCGCAGCACAACAACAACTTGTCACACTCGCCGCCGCTCATTGGTCCACAGTTTAGAAACATGACGAGCTAAGTAAAGTAGTCCCCAACTCTTATGACAATTACAAATAAAGTATAATATTTTATAATTTACATTACTATTTAGTCTTATTGTATGAAATTTTTTGTCAATTTGTATAGTTATTTTGTTTATAAAATGTATATTAAAATTAATCGATATCGAAGAGGGCGTCTCAGGGAGTGAGGCTATACAGCTTTTGAAACTCAGGTCGTACAGCGGACTCTTTAAATTACAGCCCAATATTTATCTTGGTTTCATATTTATATTGAAGATAATTACCATTGCACCATAATGAGAAATAGCTTTATATTATTTAAAATATATCCAAAATAATCCAAGAAAGCAAAACTTGATAGGAGTGGAAATAGTTTTGAGAACAAGAATCGAGGAGATTCGAGGCAGGTGACCGAGTCAAACATAATGCACTACAAACAAGCATGATACTAAAGAAATATTTCACATACCACATTTCCAGAAAAAATATATGGGAACAGCATAAAATGACTGATTTTTTTAATGTAAGAGGAATATTCCATAATATTTAATTTTGTGCAAAATGTACCAAGACGACATTGACAACAGTAAACACAGCACGTCCACACACATCTTTTACTTCAGTGTTTTTCTCAGAATAAAAGACAAAACTGGAAACTTTTAATTAATCTACAATAATTATTATAACTTTTTCATGAAATTACTAATATAATCAAAGCAAATTTTTAAATGTATAAGTTTACAAACAAAACAAAAATAAAAAATATTAATTAAAAAAACACTTCCTGCAATTTAAACCACTGAAAATAAAAAACAAACAATAATGCACAAAACGAGGAAGCCACAAGGCATATATATATATATATATATATATATATATATATATATATATATATATATATATATATATATATATATATATATATATCATTAGCCCAATAAAGCACGCGGACTTCTACATACAATCAACACCTCAACCCGCCGCCAGGATTCGAACCCACGGCCCACGAGCCCATGACTGTGACCGGCGAACGCCAACCGCTGGACCACCAGTCATGGGCTCGTAGTGTTCGAATATATATATATATATATATATATATATATATATATATATATATATATATATATATATATATATATATATCCCATTTTTTTTATTTTTCCAGAGCAAACATGGACTAGTTTATTGTGCAGCCACCTTATAAGAAGGCGAAGCTGATAAACGCTACTGAATACAGACAGCTACCTTCTTGATTTTTACAGAAAACCTATAGTTTAAAGGGTTTCAAATATCTATCTATTTTCTTCGTTTTCTTTTAACATAATTTTATAACAATATGTAATCTGTGATGAGGTCTCATTTGCCCTATTATTTGTATTTGCTGCAGCTCTGTTACTCACTCTTGGCAAGTATTGGACATGCACTGGCCCCTACTTCTACTTATATCCTCTTCACTACTGATCGGCTCGTTAGCCTCTTGGGCGATAGGTCACGGCTCTGTTACTTTTCTTTTTCTTTTATCCTCTTCACTAAATGCTCGGTTGTGGGGGTATGAGATATAGGTTCACACTCAGGATGGGATGGAGAAAGGAAACTCACAATGTGCTCACTGTATACATATTGTATTGGATGTACAATGCAGCTTGTTGCTGGATAGGTAGCATGATAATAAGCGTTGAGTAGAGAGAGCTGGGTGGTGAGGGTGCCAAGAGGAGGGACACGCGGCTTGAGGGACGCCTAGGTCGCTGGCGGGAGCGGGAGCCGCCAGGCTGGCGCGGAGGAGGAGGTGTTGCTTGCTGGTGGCGCTGTGTAGAAAGAGGCTGGTCACAGCGGTGTTAGGTCTTATAAGGCGGGGGTAGGCGTGGGTAGATAGTTGACCCCCGCTCCGTAGGCGGCGCTGGAGGCGTAGGCTGGGGAATTCGAGAAGGTTCGGTGCTTGTAGGGGAGGAATCCATTACAACGTCTCTGTTATGCACTGTTGGCAAGTACTGGGCATGCACCGGCCCTGAATGTATCTGAACCTGCTCCAGTGCTTGTCAAGCCTGATCTTGAAAGAGCTCACACTCGGTGCCGTCACAATACTCTCTAGCTGTTCTATCAGATTGTTCCAAGAGTTCACATCTCTCACTCCGAAAACGTTACCCCTCACAATTTTCTGGGCTTGCGGCTTCTTCAACCTAGAGCTGTGACCCCTTGTGGGGCGAGCGTCTGCCAGCTCCAGGTAAGGGCACTCGACTTTAAGATCCTTATACACCTCATTTAGGTCTCCCCTTGCTTGTCTGTAGTAAAGGCTAGGCAAATTCAGGCGCTCTAATCTCTTAGGGTAGCTGAGGTGCCGTAGTGTAGGCACCAGTCTGGTGTTCCTCCTTTGGACATTTTCAATCAATTGACAATCCCGAGCATATCTTGGGGACCAGACGGGGTGACAGTACTCCAGACGGGGAATCACTTCACTCTTGAAGATCGTTACGAGGGACGGACCGTCTAGATATCTGAACGACCTTGTAGTGGATTTCTCCCCTACAAACGCTGTTTGTCGCTGAGTAGCCGACCCCACCAATTCCCCAGTGTATGCCTCGTGGTCTAGGTCAATCAGCGCCGCCATACATCACGGAGCGGAGGTCAACTACTAAGCCACGCCTAACCCCGCTATTTAAGACCTGACCTCGTGGTGACCTGTCTCTTTCTACCTACAGCCGCAGCCAGCAACACCTCCTCCTCCGCCGCTGCCTGGCGGCCTTCCCTCGCTCCTCCGCCTGCCTGACGGTCCTCTCTCCCGCTGGCGAGCATGGCGACCCACAAGCTGTCCTTCTCTCAGCGTCCTCACCAACCAGCTCTCTCTACATCACGCTTGTAACCACGCCGCCTTCCCAGCACCAAGCTGCATTGTACATCCACTACAACATGTATATAGAGAGCACATTGTGAGTTTCCTTTCTCCATTCCATCCTGAGTGTGAACCAAATATCCTGAACCCCACAACCTTCTTATAAGACTTAATAATTTAGTTGCCTGACATGCCAGAAGCTGTACACTCCTCCATACAAATGTTTGTGGACGATGTCAAGCTATTAAGGGAAATTAAGAACCAAGCAGACTATGAAGAGATGCGGAAAGATCTCTGTGAACTTCAAGAATGGTCGAAGAAATGGCTGCTAAGATTCAATGTCACGAAGTGTAAGAGGATGCATGTGGGAGGTACCAACGGAAAGGGGGCGTATCATACTCGTATGTCCCAACGGGACGAATAAACTGCATTAATTGAGACCGAATGCGAAAACGACCTCGGTGTGTGTATGTTGGTAATGAACTGAAGCTCTTGGGCCATTGTGAGAAGGTGAACCAAGCAACTAAATTATTAGGTCTTATAAGAAAGTCGTTCAAATTTCTTGACAGTCCGTCCCTTCGAGGTGCTTCCCTGCCTGGAGTACTGGTCCTCGAGATATACTAGGGATGTCAGTTGATTGAAAATGTCCAAATGAGGGCCACCAGACTGGTGCCGGTACTTCGGCACCTCGGCTACCCAGAGAGATTAGAGCGCCTGCAATTGCCTAGCTTATACTACAGACGGGCAAGGGGAGACCTACAGGGTAATTGAGGTGTACAGTATAATGATCTCAAAGGGCACTACTCAGTCGAGTGTCCTTACCTGGAGCTGGCGGACGCTCGCCCCACAAGGGGTCACAGCTCAAAGTTGAAGAAACCGCAAGTCCAGAAAACTGTGAGGGCAAACTTTTTCAAAGTGAGAGGTGTGAACTCGTGGAACAACCTGCCAAAGAGTGTTGTGACAGTACCGAGTGAGAGCTGTTTAAAGACCAGACTTGACTAGCACTGGAGCAGTTTCAGATACATTCAGGAGCCAGTGCATGCCCAGTATTTGCCAACAGTGCGTAAGAGACTTGACCGATTGCCCAAGCGGCTAACAAGTCGAATAATGTCGAAGATAAAAGTAAAAAAAAAAAGGCTATTGGACAGGTGATGTGTTATGCTTGAATGGTTAAGTGCTCTAGATTCTATTGTTTGAAGTTCTCTTATATTTTTTATGTTATGTTTACTTGTGTTAAGCCAATTCTGTTACTCGAAGCTTAATCATACTTAATTTGTAATTCTGTTTATTCTGTTTATTACAGATCTGTGGATACTGATGTTGCATTAATTTGAATAAAGCCTCCCAGTGCTTACCTTCGTTTTCAAAACAACAGGCTCGCAGTTTAGATCTGGCGCAACGTTACTCAGCTCCTATTAGCTGGTTCGATCTCGGCTACTATACTGTCTCAGCCCTCGGTGATTACTCCAGCTATCACCCAAATCTGGATTTTAGAAATGCTGCTACAGCTTCTAGGCTTGCTTGCTCTTTTTGTGGCCGACCTAACCATCTCCGGTATCTCTCTCCCAATTGAAATTCTCTGTCATGAGTATGGGAAGAAGGGGACATTTCGCCCGTGTATGGACCAAGAATACCAGGCAAGAATGCAATCGCAATGGTTTAACACAGATATCTGAATCTGCTTCTGGCTTAACTTCACATTTACTTTTTTCTTTTATCCTCTTCATCATTGATCGTCTCGTTAGCCGCTTGGGCGATCGGTCACGTCTCTGTTACGCACTGTTGGCAAGTATTGGGCGTGCACCGGCTCCTGACTGTACCTGAACCTGCTCCAGTGTTGGTCAAGTCTTGTCTTGAAAGAGCTCACACTCGGTGCCGTCACAACACTCTCTGGTAGATTGTTCCAAGAGTTCACAACCCTCACTCCGAAAAAGTTTGCCCTCACAGTTTTCTGGACTTGCGGCTTCTTCAATCTTGAGCTGTGACCCCTTGAGGGGAGAGCGTCCGCCAGCTCCAAGTATGGACACTCAACTGAGTCGTGCCCCTTGAGATGCTTATACATCTCAATTAGTTCACCCCTTGCCCGTCTGTAGTATAAGCTAGGCAAGTTCAGGTGCTCCAACTTCTCAGGGTAGCTGAGGTGCCGAAGTGCAGGCACTAGTCTGGTGGCCCTCCTCGGAGTGAGAGTTGTGAACCCTTGAAACAATCTACCAGAAAGTGTTGTGACGGCACCGAGTGTGAGCTCTTTCAAGACAAGACTTGACCAACACTGGAGCGGGTTCAGGTACATTCAGGAGCCGGTGCATGCCCAGTACTTGCCAACAGTGCGTGACAGAGAAGTGACCGATAGCCTGGGCGGCTAACGAGCCAATCTTTTGGTGAAGAGGATAAAAGAAAAGGAAAAGAAATCAGAGACGTGACCGATCGCCGATCAGTGGTGAAGAGGATAAAAGTATATCATTTATGAAACAAACAAACAACAGCGGGCCCAATACAATGCCCTGTTGTACCCCACTTGTGACAGGATTATGATTTCGTGCCATTAATCACCACACACTGTTTGCGATCATGTAGAAAGTCTTCTGTCCACGCTAGGACATTTCCCCGAATTCCGTACCCTTCCGGTTTGATTTTCAGCCTTTCGTGGGGTACACTGTCGAAAACTTTGGCAAAATCTAGGTAAATAGTGTCGATATTACCACCCCATTCCAGAATATGGGTCCAAATATCCAACACCTGGAGCAATTGTAAGCAGGAGCGCCCTAGCATAAAACCGTGTTGGCAATCCTTTACAAGGTTGTTTCGTAGTAGATGTTCCATCGCGGCATCTCTGACAATACTCTCAAGTACTTTCACATATTATGCTGGTCATGCTCACCGGTCTATATTTGTTCGTGGAATGACGATCGCCCTTCTTGAAGATACGACTCACATAAGCCACTTTTCATTCACTGGGGACCTTTTGTTCATCCAGGCATTTACAAAACAGGATCTTCAGGGGCTCGGCAAGCTCGTTGCTCAGCTCTCTTAGCACTCTAGGATGCATCATGTCAGGGCCGGGACTCTTATGGACCTTTAGGTTTGACAGTTTATTTCTAATACCCTCTACTGTGAACACAATGTGGGTCAGTGCTGTGTCGAACTCAAACGCAGGAAGGTTAATCGCATCCTCTCTTGTGAACACCGAGGAAAAGAAGCTGTTCAATGCCTCAGCTTTATCCCGGTCAGAGTCTGCGTAACTACCATTTTCAAGCCTCAGGTCTGATACTCTTACTCGCGTTTTTAATTTCGACTTTGCATAGCGGTAAAACGCCTTTGGGTTTGACTTGACCTTGCTTGCAACCAGCCTATGGAACTCCTTTTCAGCCCTTCTACATTCTATCTGTGCTTGGTTTCTGGCTCTTGCATACATCCTCCTGTCCTGCTCATCATTTGACCCAACCCACGTCTTGAATTTCTGGGTTTTCTTCTTAACTTTGTCGACCGCCGCATGGTTCATATGTAGGGATCCCCTCGTATTCCTAGAAGCACTGGGTTTGGTCTTGGGTATATATTTATCGATCAAATGGGTCACTTTAATAGTTATGATATTCAGCGTAGTGTCTGCGTTCTTGTGCCTTAATGAGTCAGGCCAGTTGATACCACTCATCTCTTCCCTCATCCCGTTGTAATTTCCCTTGTAATATTTGCACCTTGGCCTGGCCTTATCTTGAACTAGATAACAGTTAAATTTGAATAACATACTATATGGTGACTGGTGCCAACTGGGGCAAGGTGCTCCAGTTTGGCCACCATACCCTCCTCGTTTGTTATGATGCGGTCTAGTGGCTTGGGTGTTTGTGTCGGGTCTCTAACATGTTGGAACAGAAAATTATCTCTCAGAGTAGCAGGGTTATTCAAGTCATTTCTGCTATCCTTTAAGGGGTACGAGTTGTTTGGTTCACACTCTGGATGGGATGGAGAAAAGAAACTCACAATATGCTCTCTTTATACATATTGTATTGGATGTACAGTGCAGCTTGGTGCTGGGAAGTGGCAGCGTGGTTACAAGCGTGATGTAAAGAGAGCTGGTTGGTGAGGGTGCTCAGAGGAGGACCAGCTTGTGGGTCGCCATGGTCGCCGGCAGGAGAGAGGACCGCCAGGCAGGAGGAGGAGGTGTTGCTTGCTGGTTGGTGTAGGTAGAAAGAGATAGGTCACCACGAGGTAGGCGTGGCTTAATAGTTGACCTCCGTCATGTAAGGCGGCGCTGGTTGACCTAGACCACGAGGCATACACTGGGGAATTCGCGGGGTCGGCTACTCAGCGACAAACAGCGTTTGTTGGGGAGGAATCCACTACACCCTCTTCAACGTGCCACCATGTCTGTACTAGTCAATAGTGTTACTGCCAACCAATGCCCTTGTGGACATTGGTATCGCCAACAGTTTTTGTTAACCTCAAACTTGTTCAAAAGCTAGATCTTGATGTATTGCCACCCCAGGCCACTATGTTGCAGATTTGTCGTTCCTTAATAATTGTTACCAAAAGTTTCAACTCTGTACTTTCCAACGTCTGCATTCATATTATTTTAGGTAAGGAATTTATGTAACTTCATAAATCTATGCAATTTGCTTTGCAGGGATCTTGTTTTAAACTGAGTTGCATGATCTCAGTCAATATTTTGTATTTTATTTTGAAATACTTCGATCTTTTATTGTAAATCACCATATACCGCATTGACTCACAGAGTACTCGTATACAGTCCCGTATTTTTTATTACTTTGTGTTGTCCTAGCTTTCTCCTGGCGTTTTTTTCTGTTGCATAGGTAATAAAGTGGAGACATTGTTCACTAAGTCTAATTTAGGAACATTGCCTGACTGATTTTGTCTTGGCTTCTAAAAATAATATTCCGACAAGGTGTTGTGCAAACTGACTATCACTGGGAGGGCGGTAGAAATTAATTACTAGGATGGGTTTAGTTTTGGGTAATAATATTTCCAGCCATAAGCTTTGCAGATGATCATCGAATAGTCTTATCATATTTTCCTGACCGACTGGCTGGTTTGACAAGTAGCAAGGAGTAATCAGAGAATAAATTAACAAAACGAATATTAATCAAGCGGCTAAAAGACGATCAGGGGCAAAGAGGATAAACTTAAAAAGTACTGGAATAAAAATTTCCAAGTTCGGTCGTCAGTGTCTGGTTCACCAACTCCCTTAGGCTCGTACTGGTAGACGTTGTGCAGTGTGACTTTACTTGAGAGAGGCGCTGTCATTGCAGCTGAAGTTACACAGTCGGCGTAAATCACTTATTGCAAGTAAGTATAATTCATAAGTTAAAGTGTGTTAAATGCTTAGTATTATAAAAAGAGATACCGTTTTGATTCACTAGTGCCAGTGCCAAGCTCGTAGGTGGAGACAGATGTATATGTTTTACGCCTACATTCGGCTGCTGGTCGTGACGTCCACGCAAGGATTGTATTGCATATGATGATCATGAGGGAAATACATTCATTAATTTGCACAATCTTTAAAACAACACGCGTATTTTAGCATAATATATGGCAATTCCGCAAACAGCGGCATACGGTTCAGGCATGATATTTTTTCAAGCAGGTTTTTCATGTTGAATACACCAGTGACGAAAGTTACATCGAGTTACAATTCTTCCTGCTGTCAATCTTGACCCCACCAAAGGGTAACAGGGCTTCGAAAAGATGAAAAATGTTGGGTTTAAAACATAACGAAAAAACTTAACCTAACCTGGTCATTTTGTGCTCACCTACTGTGGAGGAGGATAACCATAGGTAGTTGTGTAGGTAGTAGGCAGCTATCAAACAGGGAGGTACTACCGCCTAGGAAGCTATTGGAAGCATAACGTGTTGTCTAATGGTAGACCCTGCTGCCATATGGCATCACGAAAATTGTGACCAAGTCCCAGGTTGCTGATCTGACTTTCTGCCTCATTTACACACAATTGCAGGGTCTCAATTGTTTTCTCACTATTGCCAACACAACATCGGTCCGACTAATTACCCAAATGTACCCAAATATAGCAAAATGTAGCCGCAGTGAAGTCAAATAATGGTCCTACATGAATAAATCGGACTGTTAATCACTTCTCGGCTAGTATTTGGTGTCACAAAGTCACAAAAAATTGGTAAACTTACTTTAATCTGAGTTAATAGATCGCGTGCATGTACCGAGGGAGCGAGTAATTACCCAAATGTACCCAAATGTAGCCGCAATGAAGTCAAATGATGGTCGTACAAGCGTAAATCGGGCTGTGAATCACTTCTCGATTATTATTTGGTGTCATAGTCACAAAAAATTGGTAAACTTAATTTAATCAGAGTTGTGTTAGGTTAGGTACTGTACATGCACTTGATCTATTAACTCAGATTAAATTAAGTTTACCAATTTTTTGTGACTTCGTGACATCAAATACTAGTCGAGGTTAGGTTAGGTACATGCACTCGATCTATTAACTCAGATTAAATTAAGTTTACCAATTTGTTGTGACTTCGTGACACCAAATACCAGTCAAGAAGTGATTGGCAGTCCGATATATTCATGTAGGACCATTATTTGACTTCATTGTGGCTACATTTGGGTACATTTGGGTAATAAGTCGGACCCCACAACATACATACAGTATATCGTTTCTCACTCGATCTTTTTTTTTTTAGTTTTTGTATTTCTTTATGGTTCTTTATTATTATTATTATTATTATTATTATTACAGTATTTTATTATTTTTATTTTAAATTTAGTATATTTTTATAAATTTATTATTATAATTATTATTATTATTACATTTTCACCCCCAGTCCCCGATGTGGGTCAGTGACCCGTGCTCGGGTGGGCTAATCCTTGTAAAAAAATAATGGTGGTGTCGTCAAAATTGCAGTGGTTGAGGAGGGATCAAACGAAGTACTTCATGTGATGATATTTTTTACTGTGATATTTGACATTCCCAGCCCTCAGTACCCATGACTTGATGACCTTCCAGAGGCATTCAATGTTATTTGGAGGACGGAAAAAAAACTCGATCAATAATTTCCCTTATTTACCTAATGGCCACCCACTTGAGGTGGCCATGGTGAGGGAAGTAGACCAGTGGTTTGTGTAGGATCCCTCCATTGTTCTTGATAGTTTGTATGAGCTGTTGGACTGTTCTGTAGGTATACCACCCTCTGTGTGAAGAGGTGTTTCCTCATGTTTGTTCTGCATGATAACTTGGCGAGCTTATAGTTATGTCCCCTCATGTTGATGATGTGTGACGTTACAAAAAATATGGCTTGGGTTCATGTTTTCCAGCCCTTTCAGAATTTTGAATGTTTCAGGGAGATCTGCCGTACTGTGTTTTTTCTGAAGAGTTGTTTGTCCTAAAGCCCTCAATCTACTGTACTTGGATAATCGAGTTTACATATTAGTTCTGGAATCATTTTCGTCATACTTGTACTGTATACAGTAATCCAGACTGAGATATATGTAAGATTTATAAAGTTATAGAAGCATTTTCCTATCTTGTATTCAAAGGTACGGTAAGATGGGGCGACGTCAGGCAATGTTTGAGGTTCTTTAAGCTGCAGTTAAGTTTGAAGGCTAAAACCATATGTTACGTATGCTATTGGTGCATGAACAAATGAGTTATCAATACAGGGGTGTATGTGTCAATAGAAATTCAGGAAACATCTTACTTTTTCTATGAAGATAAGAAGATTTATAGGTGTCTGAAGTCACCCCGGGACTTCTGCACGTGAACAGGGAGCGCTACCACAGCACACAAGGGGAACAAAAGCTATCCTAGTCATTGTTGTATTTCACATGAAGCCTGCTCCTTCGTCTTATTTTTAAGCAACAGGAGCCTCCACGGCATTTTATACACACCAACACTCGCATTGTGATTATATGATTTATCAGAGATAAAATGAACCTACTTGACCTAACCTACCTAATCTAACCATAATTTACCTAAACTATCAGTACGTAATCTAACCTAATCTATTTAACCAAACCTAATCTACCTAACCTAACCTTGAATAGGTATGGTAGGTTTGGTTGGTTCATCTTATATCCAATAAATCATATAATGTAACTGTACGTAGTTGGAAATACTGCATGTAAACAGTGACTATGGCATCATTGTTTGCCAGTGTAGATTAATGTTCATGATGAAAAAATAAGCAAAAATGATAGTACATGTTATGAAAACGAAGGTAAGCACTGGGAGGCTTTATTCAACTTAATGCAACATCAATATCCATAGATCTGTAATAAACAGACTAAACGGGAATTACAAATTAAGTATGATTAAGCTTCGAGTAACAGAGTTGGCTTAACACAAATAAACATAACATAAGAAATATAAGAGAACTTCAAACAATAGAATCTAGAGCACATATCCAACTAAGCACAACACATCAGTACAGTAATTGTTTATGACTTTGTCTTGTTAGAAAGAGCAATTTTTTGAAAAAAATATACCGTGCTGTATACAGAAGAAATTTTATTTCTTACGTCTTGGTAATCCCCAAAAGAGTCGGAGGAATTGTAACACTCCTATTGTGTACTTTTGTTTTCTCTAATTTTTGTTAAAATAGTACCTGTAGTGTAAGTATGGCCCACTGATGTTCAGACACTACAGTATGTTTACAGTTGAACCATTGACTTGCTTGTCAGCAAGTGGTAATAACTCTAAACAACTGAACTTTTCCCAGTAAATTTTCCATACAAATACAAATTGTTAATGATAAAATAGCACCCTAACCAACATACCTAACCTAACTTAAACTAATGCACTTGTATCCGAAAATAACTAGGATAAGTGAGATAAGGTTTGGTTGGTTTATTTTATTTGCGATACTGTACTGTGCATCATTGGTCTCTGGCAAACATATGGGGAGTATGACGAGAGACTGTTAAGGAATGAAACACTGTCCTGGACAAAATCACCAAAGTAATAATAGGTACTCTATGAATATTGCCTAAAACCTTGCTATTTATTAGTACAGTACTGGTTTATTTTTATTTTAATAAACAATTAATAGTTGTCTCCCCAAATTTAAAAAAAATTGCTGCTAGTTTTTTGTGTGTATAGATTGAAAGTGTTATTTATGCATGAAATGTTTGCCTTTTAGCACTTGTGTTAATAGCTGATAATGACGGCTGCATGGAGGTAGTGCACTTAAACAAATTCAGTACAGTATGTGTTTAACTTTACTTTGCATATTATTATTTCTATATTCAGTAGCTATACTGTACAGTATAGTACAGGTACACTCTCTTCTTGACTTATGACGGGGTTCCATCCTGACGACCAGGTCGTAAGTCGAAAAGGCCAAAATAATACATAGAAATTCTGAAATGGGTGTCTCTTTTTCTTCTCGGCACCACAAGAACTCTCACTTTTACAATTACAAACGAAAATTTTGTCAGTACACAGCGTGATCACTAACGTCTGGACTCGAAAATACATAATGCGAAAAATATTTTATACGACCATGGCCGTCGTATGTCCGGGTTGTTGTAAGTCGAATATGTCGTAAGTCGAGGAGAGACTGTATGTGTAAAATCATTCTTTGTATCATGTCTTTGTGTGCTAGCTAGAAGGCTCTCCTTTCTGGTCAACATTGTGTAAAGTTCTGAGCTTGAATCTCCTCTCTTTACCTAAACATGACTTTTTCAAGGGGACACTTCTGTTCCAGCCAGTAATGTCAGGTCTCCTGGGTTTAGAGTACTGTACAGTACTCTAAACCCAGGTTTTGCCATAAAATGGATGTTCAAGGGCACTTCTTTTTATCGATAAATTGACTGTAAATGCTCTATTGTCACATTTAGCACTGTCAAAAGCATCTCGCAATTCTTTATATTTCAGTTGTGATTTACTGTACCGCAAGTGAGGATGGTTGTCCGACAGTATAATGAAGAGCTTAAATTCTTGGAACGTTTGTCACCTCAATGTTGGCGCATCAAGAAGGGTTTCCAACCTAATATGAATGTAAGTGAAGTCTTTTTTCATGTTTTATATGAGAGTAACGGGGCTGATAAGCACATAAAATAGGCATGATTGTTCACTTTTGTATAGAATTATGAGACTTTGGCCACATATTCTACATGGGCTAGTAAAGATTTTCGTATATAGTGCCAACTGAACAGCTTCCCCTGGTTGCCCACAGTGCCCCTATTGCAGTGGTTCTTAACCTTTTTTGAGTCACGGACCCCTTTGGGAATCTGGTGAAAGCTATGGACCCCCATCCCTAGAAAAATGCACATAAGCACAACTTTGCATGCAATGAGTATACTTTATTTTATTGAAAATTCATTGCCCCATACAGTGTATGACATACACAAAGTATGAATAAAGTAAACAATCTTAACAAAGAATTATGTTTCACACTTTTTTATGCAAAAATTAATGGCCACTCCATGCAAAAATGAAATACAATCATCTTGTGCAAATTAAACAAAACAAAACTTTAATTCTGCTCAAAAGTTCATTTCAATGTGAAGGTTGTTGTTGTTTGGCTTGAAGATAAATGTTAAATTTTTTTCTGACCTTCACGGACCCCCTGAAGCCCATCCATGGACCCCGGGTCCATGGACCCCAGGTTAAGAACCCCTGCCCTATTGGCTGACCGCGATAGCACCTCCCGAACAGTTCCTCTTACTGCAACAGGTCCATTATTTTTGGTCGAAACATGCTGAAATTTGGATATGCTATGTATCGTGACCTTACAAATACATCTTAATTCTATATTATTTTTTGTCAGACCAAAGTGTGTTTGTTTGTTTGTTTCATTTTTTTTAATTAATAATCAACACTCAAATGTTCTCAGACTTCAGGATTCTAAAGTTTCCTTTAAGAATGTTTAAAGCTGTACACATTATGATATCATATGCATAGATTTTTAACTGCACTGTCCATCACATGCACAGAGAGCAGTACACTGAAGCACTGCTTTTGTACACTTGCATCATCCTGAACATGTCCTTTTGTAACCACAGTGTACCAGCTCTAGGCAAATCTTTGCAGCTTTAGGTAATTTTGTCCAAACAGGGTGATAGGCTCCTCCTTCGTGTCCAACCCCAATAGATGAGGTCAGGAAGAATGGGCATAGGACTAGAACATTGTCCCCAGACATGGCCACTTTGGTATACAGCTTGCTTAATATGTTGTATTAGTGCAGCTTGGGTGGTGGAATCCCTTCAATGCCTCGGCCTTTCTTTGTTAAGAGATATTTCCGGGCATTGTTCACCTGTAATGTAGTAAAAAGGGTATAAAAATACCAGTTTCAACAGAGAATGAGTTATATATCAATGCTGCTTTGCAGGCATTTACTTTTATAGTGTGCTATATGAATATGCCTCTAAGTTTAGCTGTATCCCAAACAAAGATAAGTATTACTAAGTGTGAGAGGTTTGAATAATAGACCAGGTTCTTTGCAGACTTTACTCTTACAGTGTCAGACAGTGACTGGCAACCCGGTGCTGCCACAGACAAACTCCCACCTCCACACATGGGAAAACATATCGTACAATGGTACTCCATCTCACAATCTCACATCTCCCCCCCAAGTTAAAAGGAAATGACAATGCACATTTAGAACTAACGAAAGGAAAACAATGCAATAAAAACAATAATGCAAGAAAAAACCAGTCAAACAAAGACACACACAAAAAACCCTTAAACTAATTTTACACCACATACACTATACCACATAATCAGCCAACCAACCCGGGGGCCTGCGGCCTCTCCCGGGCCTGGCCACGCCTTGGGAAAGGGCCGGGGGTGCGAGCGAGGGCGCGGGTACGGAGAGCACCGCAGAAGGGGGGGCCAGGAGGCATAGCTTGATGCACCATAGGAGTGGCGCCGCATCGCAGGTGGCCTCTGTTGCAGATGGACACCCTGCCACTGCCAATCAACCTGACGGCATACTGCCTGTGAGGGCGGACATCCACCACTATGCCCATCTTGTCCCAGAGCTTGGTAGCGGCGTCATGCACACGCACCTGCGCGCCCATAGCCAGGGGAGCCAGCTGGCGGAACACCTCCCCCCTCGACAGAAGGATCCCGTCCTGGGTTTCGGCCAAGCGCACCTCCCTCATATGAAGTGCCCGCCGCCAGTGCTGGTCCACCTTATAGTGCTGTCTGGCCATGGGAAAGCCGTCACGGAGCTGGTGGCCGGTGGCAAGTTGGGCGGGCGACTTGTTCACCCCCCGCAGAGGCGTGTTCAGGTACTGGTGGAGGGCCTGGGATGTCCTATCGCAGTCCAGGCTACCCCTGGGCCCAGTGTTATCCCTGAGGAGCCTCTTGGCAGCCTTGACCCCAGCTTCTGCCCTGCCATTGGACTGGGGGAAGTGGGCCGACGAGAGGCGCACCTCGACCCCCCATGACTTGAGGAAATCTGTCATCTCAAGGCTGGCAAGGTTGGTACCTCCATCCGTGGAGATCTGCTCAGGTACCCCCCACCTCGTGAAGTAGGCCCGCAGACTGGCGATTATTTTTCCAGAGGTGGCCTCGTTGGGGAAGTGGGCGATCTCCAGCCAACCTGTCAGTCGGTCAGCATATGCTAGGTACGTGTGGCCCTGCAGGTGGAACAAATCGGCCACCACTTGTTGAAAGGGATAGTCTGGCGCTGGGGTCAGAACCAACGACTCCGGAGGCTGGGAAGGGGCGTGGGTCTCGCAAGCAGCACACCGGGACCGATGATACTGCAGGTCACCCTCCATGCCAGGCCAATAGACAGACTGCCGGGCCCGCCTGAGCATTGAGTCGAGGCCCTGGTGCCCCACATGCAGGTTAACGGCGACCCGGTGGCGGAGGGAGTCGGGGATGACAAGGCGCACGCAGCCCTGGTCAAAGGTGTAGGTGACCAAACCCCTGACCACAGCCAACCTGTCCCTCACCGAGAAGTACGGGCGCAGACAGGCCACCTCCTGTGACTTGTGGGGGTGCCAGTCGCCCGCCAGCACCCTCGACACTAGAATCTGGTACACTGGGTCGTCCGCAGCCGCTTTGCACACTGTGTCTTCGTCCATAGTGATGCACCCATCCTGATCCAGTGCTGCGATTGTGACTGCACACACTGCAGCGCACAGGTCCTCCTCTTGGTCCATGTCCTCCGCATCAGGCGCCGCCCTGAGGGAGGGGAAGCGGGATAGGGCGTCAGCTGCACAGTTCCGCTTCCCTGGCAAGTACTTGACCGTGAATCGGAACTGCAGGGTCTTCTCCTTGAGCCTGAACAGGCGCGGATTCACCACATCCGTGAGGGCTCTGTCCCCTAGCAAGCCAACTAAGGGGCGGTGGTCCGTCACCAGAATGAGGTTCGGGCAGCCAAGGAGGAACAGCCTGGCCTTGCGCAGGCACCATACCACCGCCAGGGCCTCCCCTTCTACTGCAGCGTAGCTGGCCTCGGCTGTGCTCAGATGTCGGCTACCGAACAGAGCCAACCAGCACCCTTCCCTGCACCAGAAGGGCGTCTCTGGAGAGGCACAGGCACAGTATTGTTGCAGGATGACAAAGGCAATGCCCTCCCTGCTCCAATCCGTGACAGCTACCGTAGGCCTGGATTTGTCGTAGTACACCAAGCCATCCCTGGCCAACTGACAGATGGTGTCCTGTGCCTGGCGAAACTTGAGCCGCAGCTGGTCTGCCCAATACACCCGCTTGCCCACTGGCTTCTTGAGGAGCTCACGGAAGGGCTCCATCACAGGTTTCATGGCAAGGAAGGGAGCCAACTGGTTAACCAGGCCATGCCAGGACCTGATGTCAGTGATTGATGGCTGATCAGGCATGGGGAAGTCCTTGATGGCTGACAGATGTTGGGCAGTGGGCTGGTAGAGGTCCCACTCCAGGAGGAAACCCACAAACTTGGCTTCTCTCCTGCAGAACAAGAACTTTTCCAGTTTCGGTGTGATACCTGTGCGAGCGCAGGTCTCCAGAAAATTGTAGGTGTGCCAGAACGCCCCTTCTGGTGTTGCATCACTTATGGAGTCATCAGCCTGTCATTTTTTGAGATTGATTAACTTGGTTTGGTTAAAGTTGTCTCTGCATACCTTATGCCACTTTGCTTTATGGTTTCCTAGTGTGGTGCTGATGCCCTGTCTTTTATCAAGGGAAGTTATTTTCAGGGAGCTTGGTAAACCTCCAATCTGGCTGAACTTTTGCAAATCATTGGCAAGAGTTGTGTATCCTACACCAACATCTTGGCGTTTGGATTCAGCAGGACAAACCAGTTAAGTTGTATTTTGAATCCTGGCAGAAGATGCACAGTAACCAGTTTATGAGATTTCATTCTTGTTGCTTGTGGTGGGACTTTGCAGGGGAAGTAAACAGTAACAGCCATAGTTCCTGCAATGCAGAAATTAAGACAGTCAACCAAATAACCTGTACATCTGTCTTCACTGCTTTGAAAACTACTCAAGCAGATAAAGGGGCATAATATATTACTGTACTGTGTTTTGAAGTAAAGACCATAAATATGGGATTAAAAATTTAGTTCATGAAAAAATCTAAAAATTTCTAAATAACAAACACACTTTGGCCTGACAAAAAAATTATATAGAATAAGATATCCAAATTTCAGCATATTTGGAGCACAAATAAGGGAGCTGTTGCGATTGGAAGAATTGTTCAGGAGGTGCTACTGCAGTCAGCCACTAGGGGCGCTGCAGGCATAAAGGGGATGCTGTTCAGTTGGCACTAGTATAGTAAAGTCTCGATAACTGCATTTGATAACTCGGAATTTCATATAACTCAGCACGGATATGGTCTCCGAATGTATTATAGTATACCTCGGGAATTGCCGAGATGTATAAAAAAATCTGAGAAAATCTCGGCATATCTGGCCACCTGCGTCACCTACCATGCCTCTGTATCACCTACCATGCCTTTGTGTCACCTTCCATGCATCTGTGTCACCTACCATGCCTCTGTGTCACCTTCCATGGTGTTTCATTCTTCACCTGCAGTGCTGGTAAGTGTTACTTTTTTACATT